TGTAGAGGTTTAGGGTTTTAGTGCGTTTTGGCTTTCGGGTGTTTGGGCTTCGGGGCTCTCACGTTTCGTGCCTCAGGAGTTTAAGCGTTTAGGCGTTTCGGGGTTTTGGGGTTTCGGGCTTCAGGGTTTTAGGGCTTTGGGTTTACAGCTGTAGAGATTTTGGGCTTCTGGGCTTTAAGGGTTTAGGGGTTCAAGGGTTTAGGCGTCTCGGGGCTTCAGGGTTTCGGGCTTTAGGGCTTTAAAGGTTTATGGTTTTAGAGCGTTGGGGCTGTTGGGGTTTAAATGTGTAGGGGTTGAGGAGTTGAGGCGGTTAGGCGCTTCAGGGTTTTGGGGTTTCGGGATTTGTTGCTTTTGTTTTTTTGGGCTCTAAGGTCTTAGGGTCTTCGGGGTTCAGGGCCCAGGGGTTTCAATCGTCGGGGGCTTCAGGGTTTTGGGGCTTTTGGGCCGTTGCGGTTTAGGGTTTTAGTTCGTTTGGGTTTTTGGGTGTTTGGGCTTCGGGGCTTTAATGTTTATAGGGTGTCAGGAGTTTAAGGGTTCAGGCGTTTCGGGCTTTTGAGTTTCGGGCTGCAGGGTTTTAGGGCAGGGATTTTGGGCTTTTGGGTTTTGAGGTTTAGGGGTTCAGGGGCTTAGGGGTTTGAGGCGTTTCGGGGCTTCGGGGTTTCAGGCTTTAGGGCTTTAGAGTTTTAGAGCGTTGGGGCTGTTGGGCTTCAGGGGTTTAGGGGTTTTAGGCGCTTCGGGGTTTTGGGGTTTCGGGCTTTGCGGCCCTTTGGTTTTTGGGCTCTAAAGCCTTATGGCCCTAGGGGTTCGGGGGTTTCAAGCGTGTCGGGGCTTCAGGGTTTCGGGCTTTTGGGCTGTTGGGGTTTGGCGTTTGGTTTTTTGGGTGTTTGGCTTTGGGGCTTAAAGGATTTAGGCGTTTATAGGGTATACTAGGATTTAGGGTTTCAGGGGTTTGGGGGTTTTCGGGTTTTGGTGTTTAGGGGGCTAGGCGGTTTAGGAGTTTGGGGGGGGGGGGCAGAGGCGAGGGTTTATCGCACTAGCGGTTTTGTGGGTTTCGGGGTGTAGTTAGGCGTTTCGGGATTCCGGGCTTTCGGATTTTAGGGGGGCCTACGGAGCCCGAGGGCTCAGGGTTCAGGGGTTCAGGGGCAAAGGCAGAGGTTTGGGGTTTTGAGGTTCGGAGGCGTTTTGGGCTCTAGGGCTTCAGGGGGTTCTGGGGTTTTATGAGGTTCAGGGGGCGGAAAAAATTGGGGGTCAGGGCTGAGTGGTTCGAGAAAGCACACCAATTGACCACTTCACAAAACTTCATGTGATTTCATGTGTCTTCATGGGTCTTCATGGGTGCTTCATGGGTGCTTCATGTGAGCACCCATGAAGACCCATGAAGTTCCATGAAGTTCCATGAGAACCCATGAAGACACATGAAATCCCATGAAGTTCTGTGAAGTGGTCAATTGGTGTGCTTTCTCGAACCACTCAGCCCTGACCCCCAATTTTTTGTCGCCCCTGAACCTCATAAACCCCAAAACCCCTGGAGCCCGAAAACCCAAAACCCCTAGACCCCAAAGACCCGAAACTCCCAAACCGATATCCATGAACTGAACCCCTGAGCCCCAAAACACCGAAACCCCTAAACCCCGAAAGCCTTAAGCCCAAAAGCGCGGCAACCCAAAAGCTCCAAAACCCTGCACCACCAAAGCCCGAAAGCCTGACGCTTGGAAACGCCTAAGCCCCTGAACCCTTACACCCTTGAACCCAAAAGGTCTAAAGCCCTTAACACCAAAACACCGAAATACTTAATTACACGGCCCAATTCCTGAACCCCTAGTTAAGCCCTGAAAACCCAAAAGCCCAGCAACCCAACCAAAAACCCAAACGCTCTGAAACCTTAAACCTCTAAGCCCCTAAAGCCTTATAAGCCCGAAAGGCCAAAACGCTGAAGCCCCGAAGCGCCCAAACACCCGAACCCTTAAAGCCCAAGGGCCTTCAAACCCCGAAACGCCCAAACGCACTCCTGAACCCTTAAAACCTTAAAGCTCCAAAACCCAAAATCCCAAACGGTCTAAAACCCTAAACATCTAAAGCCCGGAAACCCTCAAGCCCGAAAGACCAAACGCTGAAATTCCTGAACCCCTAACCCAAATGCCCCAAACGCACTGAAGCCCTAAGGGCCCTGAAGCCCGAAGCCCCAACACCCCGAAACGCCTAAGCCCCTAAACCCCTGAACCCCTAAACCCGTAAAGCCCAAAAGGCCAATCACACGAAAACCCAAACACTCTGAAACCTTAAACCTCTAAACCCCTAAAGCCCGAAAGGCCACAACGCTGAAGCCCCGAAACGCCTAAACCCTGAGCCCTCAAAGCCCAAGGGCCTTCAAACCCCGAACCGCCCAAACGCTCTGAAACCCTAAACCCTAAAGCCCGAAAGCCCAAACGCTTAAACTCCTGAACCCCTATAACCCAAAAGCCCCAAACGCCCTCAAGCCCTATGGGCCCTAAAGCCGAAGCCCCAACACCCCGAAACGCCTAAACCTTACACCCTTAAAGCCCAAAACGCCAGTCACACGAAACCCAAACACTCTGAAACCCTAAACCTCGAAACCCCTAAAGCCCGAAACCCTGACACCCCGAAACGCCTAAACACTTAAACCTTAAAACCCAACAACCCCAAAAGACCGAACACACAACAGTTTTAAGGGCCCTAAAGCCCGAAACCCCAAAAATCCCTAAACGCCTTAGCGCCTGAACCCCTAGACCCCCGACCCCCTATGACCCCCGAAACCCCAAAACCCTTGGCGCCTACCAGACCCCTAATCCCCTAAACTCCTAACCTGCTAGTCCCCTCAACCCTTAGTACACCCCTAAACCCCTGAACCCTTAAGCCCTCAACCCCCCCAAAACCCTAAAGCCCGAAACTCTTCTCTCCGCACCACCCTAAAATCCCAAACCCCTAATGCGCTAAAGCCCTATGTACATATATATGCATATATAAATATGATATGATATGAGATATATATATATATATATATATACACCCCTAAACCTCTAAACCTTTTAAACCCTAAACTCCAAAATAAGCCCCCAAACCTGAATGAACATATCTAGTTTATGCTGGGTCGGTTAATGAGTTAATGATTAAGGTTTCGTTTAAGGGTTTGGGGCTTTTGTCTCTGCATATGTAGAGTCGGAACAGCTGGTTTGTGTAAACTTAAAACGGAAAACCTATAGCTATAGCCAGCAAAACTGAAATGCATTACTTTACACCGGCAGTATCTTAGGACTCAACAAGATAAAGAAAGAGACGGAGATAGAGTGATAGCGATAGAGATCGCGCTGAAATCTGTTGATTTCAAACTGGTATTTCTATTGATTTTATGGAAAATTTCTATTGATTTTATGGAAAAAATTCTATTGATTTTATGGAAAATTTCTATTGATTTTATGGAAAATTTCTATTGATTTTATGGAAAATTTCTATTGATTTTGAAGTGGATGTTTCTATTGATTTTTATGTCTGAGTTCTATTGATTTTGAGGATTTCCATTTCTATTGAAAAACATGCTTTTCTATTGATTTTAATCGACCGAAACAAAACGCTGAGAAATTTCAATCGCGATTGATTTTTTTCAATCGGCGGTCCTCTGGGTAAGGGCCTACGCTAGGTCCTAGACTTTAGGATACCCAGTCGCCACACTCGCTGAGTGTCCCAGTTCGACCTGAGTATGTACCACTGGAGTACTGCAAAGCCAAGCGCCAGTTCAATATTTTGGCCTCAATCATTACCAGAGGGCCTTTCAAGACATGGAATCTGGTTAGAGTTAGAGGTCTTTCATCTTAGGAGCATTATTGCTACACACAGATTTCCGGAGGTACTATTACTAAGAAACTGTTCCCAGAAAAAACGGCCTCCTGTAGGGGCTTGATTCATTACCGATACTATTTTGGGGCTTCCTTATTGTAGCACAATGGGCACCAAAACCCTATGGAGACTATTAAGGGCAAAAAGTCCGGACACCAAGGGTGCTAGGTACTGCTATGGGGGATACTTCCCCAAGTCATGATGGCAATTCCTTATATGGAGACCCTACATTCTGCTACAAAGGTACTTTGGGCCCCTTTGGGATACAAGTAACCCTAAACCCTAAACCCTAATGATCGTAGATGATGGGCCCCAAAACCCTATTGAGGCTACTAATGGAAAAACAAGTCCGGACACCAAGGGTGCTATGTACTGTTATGGGTTCCTAATCTATAGAAACCCTACATTCTGCTAGAGAGGTACTTTGGACCCCTTGGGGGGATCTTTAAAGGGCTCTTTAACGGGTTCCTTAACAGGGTTCCATAGAAGCTTCCTTAAAGGGTTCAGGGTTTAGGGCTTTAGTCCCGACACCTTGATGCCGCTCCCGGGGAGTTCTCCCCGTCTTCGCCCAGCCTCAGTCCGAGGTGTTGGCCAGGGACTCCAAAAGCTCCACGTACCCTTAAAGGGCTCCTTCCTTTAAAGGGTACCGTAAGGGGGGTTCTTATAAGAGTTCCATGATGACGGTTCTAATTATTGGGGTTTAGTTTAGGGTTTAAGGCTCCATGTACCAATTTTGTAGCTACTTAGGCGCTGAAGTACTTATATAGGGACCCGTTTTAGGCCTAAGTACCTACCTGGAGCACCCTTTGTGCTCCTTTTTGGGTCGCCTATAACCGAAACCAATAATTATTGGTAAAACCAAAAATTATTGGTTTAACCATTTTTTGGTGTCTTAGGATATATATGCAACTAGGCCCATAAGGTTGTTGAAGTCCGGAAGCCCTGATATGTGTAACATTCGCACAAGCAAAGACCCCTTAGAAAGACCCAGTACGTCCTACCGAGCAGTACATGATTATCTAACTATGTATACATAGATATTCCCGCACAACAAACCCTCAAGACCAAACTTCCTGAATCCCGACAGGCCTCCACGATGTTTCCAGCTTCCATGAGCAAGGGCTTCTTTAGATTATTGTTTCTGAGAAATTGAGCAGGGCGATAGTGGAAGTACGATAATAGGATTTGGGCCTGGGAGTGTTGAACAGAGACGGCTTAACATGTCTCTTACACACACATACACACACACACACGTAGTGGCTTTTTTCTGCCACAGAAGCACGAACTGTAATTGATCCGACACCGAGAATCAAGTCATCCCTCCGTAAGCCACACTCTTCGAACTTCCACCAAATATTTTCGGATTGTGCCAGGAGCCACGGCTGAGGGGTGCGTAGTTCGCGATATGCGGGACGTGTAGCCCACAAAACCTTCCATCATCGGTGTTGCAAATGCCCCTGGATTGAGGCACCACATACGATCACTCTGGAGGAACACATGAAGTGACCAAAGCCAGTGAGCAGCAAAATGAAACTTGGGAACAATGTTAAACAAAGTCCAAGAATGCTGGTGCCAGTAGAATGCAAGAGCGCGGTAGGCCTTCAGAAACTTTTGTAAGTGGGCAAACCCTTGCTTGGCCTCCTCTCGTGTCCAGAAAATTCGATTCTCCGAGCAATAGCATAGCCTGTTGAAATCATCAAAGCCACAACAGCCAGCATAGGCCCAGTCCAAAGCATCATTCCGTTCAAACGGCACACTCGAGAGCAAGTCGATGCACCACTGGAACATCATAACACAATCCATGGCTTTGCAACTGCAGTCCGGAAAATTTGCCAGGGTATCCCATCCCAAGTTGTCGACTGTGAATTCTTGCATGTCACGGGGATGGAGAGCATGGGCCTCACAATACGAATGAAAACTTGTAAAAGCCTCATGCAGACAAGCTGATCTGGACGTTTTCCCGGATGCCGGCTTAAACAGTCCCAGTGGCCCAACCATCATACAGATCACAGAAGCAATAAACGTCCGACCACAACCATGCGGAAGCACATGCATCAAATCAAACTGTATAAAGCTGGGTTCGTCACCCCCAGGAAGAATGCCAAAAGGAGGGTCTTTGGTCCATGGCACACACTTGAAAACAGTGGCCGTCCACGTGGCGCTCATATGAATATGCTCAAAGGGTGCATCGCTGCAGTTGGCCAAACAGTGCGGGCAAATCTCATTGCAAGTGTGGTGCCTGATACACCTGTATGCCTTTGTTTGGAAAATGTGATCCCCAGACAGACCAAGCGGCACTAGGTAGAAGGTTACACTCCCCACTGTCACACCCGTCCAGTATGCCCGGCGAAGGGATCGCGCCATCTCATCAAACAGCTTGTCCAGGATTTTGTTCCCCGCCTCATTCCCTTTGTTAAAGTGAGAATAAAGCTTGCAGGGGCACGTTGTCATGAGGAAGAGCCGGTCCCAAGAGCCACTGCCGATTGACAGCAACGGTCCCCAAGATAGCTGCAACACAGGTCGTCGTCGGTGTCCCACACCTTCATCCCCATGCAAAAGCACGGGGATGCAAACACTAAGTTCTCCAGCATGATCGTTGAAAACTGGGTGTGCCTCATTGACACTTTCATACTTGTGCCAGAAATCAAGAAAAGCCTTGCTCCAAGCATCCCTCTCAGTCAAATGGCTTCCGGCTAGAAGCTTCGGTGCCCATTGGCCAGACAGGATCACTTTCGCAAAATCAACGGCCTGCAGCATTGGATGCGGTTTCAAGACCTCTCTGCGAAGACGTCCCCTTCGGCGTAGCTTGTGTACCTTGATGGCCGTGGTGGGTGGGTTGTGGTTCTACACATTTAATTTACAGTTACCTGAAACCACTAGAACACAGAACTCTCTATAAAAAAACATGCTTTTCAATGATTACAACGAGTATCGTTTGGGATCCATTTAAGAGGCACAGACAGCATCAAGCCATGCTGTTGCAGCTTTCTCGTCATATCCCTCATGCCCTTGCGACTCCTATTGGTTGCACGAGCCAAGTCTTGTAGCTGTTCCTTGTCTCTCCGATGCGTATCCCAGGCAGCTAATTCCGACTGTGACTTTGCCAGTTTGGCCGCTCTTTTCCCGGAAGCTTCCTTGGCTCTGAAAAAAATGTGTCAGGCATTCACAAGAATGGACGGACTTTGCAAACAAGGCTCAACATAAGCAGTCAGCACATTCTCCACATGTTGAGAATCACATTCATTGACGTGACCTGCGTGGGGGGAGGGGGTGCAAAAATCACATGGTAGACACAATGACAAAGGCACATGCCGAGGTATCTTTTGCTCGTCTACAGCAAGGCATGCCGAGCGGGACAAAAGCAGGGCCATGAACACTGCATCTCCATTTCAGAAACACAAGCACTTGAGTGGCACTAGATACAGGATTATGCCTCTGCAGAAAACAACATACCAAACCGATGGAGGCATCAGTGGCCAAAGCTGCTGTAACACACTCCTCTAGCCAAGCTCACAGTCAGCTTGGTAGCAGATCCCAGCTGAGCCCCACGGGAAGAAACCCATCTAAAGTTTTGTTTTCCATGAGATCAGGAAGCCAGTGCCCGGGGGGCCAGCTCAAAACGGAAGCAGCCACATGTCTATGCACACATTCCCAGCTGTCTTCGCCCAAAACAGAATGAGTGCTTTCCTGGGCCCAGCGAAACTCACTTGGCTCCCTCCGAATCCGGAGGAGCCGGCGTTTTTTTTGGAGCGGCCTTGGTCTTCGCGGCCGTCTTGGCAAAGTGAGTCCTTGTGCTTGCACACCAAAATCAAAAAAATGCACCAAACAAATATGTAGAAACACATAGCAGCACAACCCAAGCCGAATGTTGTAACATCAGTTGCCCGACCAGGCTGCTTGATCTGTGCATGGTAGCTGGTGAACATAATACACCTGGTGCATCTGGGTTTGGGGAGGGCTGCTGCTGCACAACGAACAGAAAACATGCAGACAGATTTGCATTTATTGTAGCCGAAAAACTCCGAGCGGATCTTCTCCACCAGAGGTGCAAAACTCTGCTTCCTTAGTAAGAAATACAACTATCTGTTCGACAGCTTGTCCAGGCCCAAACATACAATCCTATATCGGATAACCCCCATACATATAACCTTTATGAAGCCCTCTGGCCTTCAAAACCCCAGACTACATGTACCTATTACATACATACATACATGTGTAAATGTGTGTGCGTGTGCCTCACATATATATATATATACATGTATATATATATATATACATATATATATATATTATATGTGAGGCACACACACACACACACACATTTACACATGTATGTATGTATGTATGTATACATATGTACTTCTGATGTATAATAGATACAACTACAGTAGGTATTATGCAACCGTTCGAGCGGGGGCAGTAACCAAGGGATTGCTGTCTGCGGAGTCATGGGGACGTTTAAGTTCCTTGTTACATATATGTTTATATATTACTTGCTATCTGGGGTCCAAGAAAGTAGCGCTAACACTGTCCTGATCGAGATAGGAAGCCGAAGAAACATGGCAAAGCTTAACAGGAAGCACTACTTTGTTTATATAGAGCGTACATTACTTTATAATTTCAGGTTACACATCTTTCAGGAGGATATACGACCTTGGAAGCTACGACGGGCATCCTCACAAGTCTAGCTTAGTAAGATTCGCAGTGCTATGATTCCTTCTGAGGAACCCCGCCGGAGCAAGTGACAACTGTGGGGTTGTAGGGCAATGATAGTATATAAGGTACCCATTCTTTATAATCGAACAAGGAAACCGAACATCCCTAATACAACTAAAGTAGCAAACCTATAAATTGTCCCTACAAGCCATTGGACATCTGAATGCGGCGGCCGCCGCAGCGTGCTGGCCGAGGCCAGCTGGACGGCTTTCGGGTTTAGGTTGGTTTATAGGCACAAACGGGATACAGGGTAGTAGGGGAACACAGGCATGCTACGCTCACAATGTAGGCTAGAAGCACCCCACCCTCGGCACCAGCTTCGATCTTGGCCAGCTCGTTCAAGAGGCACCCGAGCTTGTCTTGGTTCCATGGGTGCTATCTTATACATCTTAAGGGGACATGCTTACCATTAGAGTGCGAGGCACCACCACTCGTGGACAAGACTTTGAGGTCTTCCCTGCAGCCGCAATTCAGTACACAGGGAAGCATTTTGCTCAGATTAGGTCCACACACTACAGTGCAAACTGTCGAGGCAAGGAGCTCGTGGCCCTTTGATCCCTCCTTCTCGAGCCGCTCACGAGCACCCTTCAGCAGAGCTTTGCGGGTAAGGACTGCACGTCGGTATTGTCCAAGGTATTCCTGAATAGATTCCTCGCCCTCCACCGTGGGGTACTCGGCCAAGCGCTTCTTGCCACCTGGCTGTGGCTTGGAGTTGTCTGTGGTGGTCTCCCCATCCAATTCCTCCATGATGTCTCCGAGCTCGAAGTCACTGGACAAGAGGCCCATTTGGGCCATCTCTTGCTGCAGCTCTTGCAGCTTCTCTTCTGCGGATTCAACATCATCCCGCACCAAAACAAGGTACTTGCGGATGTTGGGGTCATACAAGTCTTTCCTAGGATGACATGCAACTCCATCTAATGCAGCACACACACATATATTCACAAGCTGCTACAAGGACGGTCGTGTCACAACACGTCTCACCATGGCACTTAGTGAGCTTCTTCTTCTCACAGTGCTTGATGGCACCCTGAATCCTCGACCTTATGTTCTGCTCTTGTCGTGGTTACTATTAATGGTTAGCTCGAGCACTGTTGTATCCCAGACACTCCTCCCACTCGAGAGGCGGCTTCCGCATCTCGGCTTCGGTTTTCCAAGAGTAGCCTTGGAGGTTCTTTCGCCACTTCACGGTCTTGGTGCGGAAGGTGATGAGGCAGTTCAGCTTGGCCTGTTCTGATAGGGATAGCAAGGCACCCTGAACAAGTCCAGTAAGGACCCTACATAAACACCACGAACACAAATAGCACCTTTGATAGTCTTATGCGGGGCTCCCTCGGCTGCCTGTACATTCCACGGACCCTGGATTAATGGCTATATAGATTCATTATAGGGTGGCCCAAGAACCTTTAACACCAATCCTTGCAGGCGGCCTCAATCGGCCCTGTTGCTGTCGCTGCTGCATGTGCAGGTACACAGGTTTTTAGACAGGGTTAATAGACTTCAGAGCAGCAACTATAGAGGGTTCGTTTCAAGGTTTCAGAAGGGCTTTGTATGGAATGCAAGAAGGCATATATGGGTTTAGGGTTTATACTTCGTGTCGGTCGGGTTACAGTCGGGGTAAACCCGCAAAACCCCTAACCTTAGAATATCTATAGATTCACGACTGCTATCAGTAACCGAAACCCTGAACTTCCTTAAATCCTGAGCCTATTCTACTCCACCCGGGCAGCCTTGTGAGTAGTGGGATCCCCCCCTTGGACATAGCATCGACCAATGAAGTCCCGGAGCAGGTTCTGCCGTTGGAAGTCTCCTTGCATAGAGGGCTATCGCATTTAGCTCCATGCCCCAGTATCTCGCATGGTTTGATGTAGTATTGGTACAAGTTTCGGCTTTACAGTTCATGGGTTTGCAAAGCTTCGTCGGGGTTCGAAGCGAGGTTGTAGATAGGCTTGTGGGTGCTGGCACGAGCTTCGGACAAGGAGGGCTTTCTTCAGCATATGGTTCTGCCTAAAGTCGAGGCTTATTGATTTCCGGTACAATATGGCTTTGGTGTACTATTGGCTTGCAACAAACCGCGCTTGCAATTCGGATCGACCGGCTAGTTTGCTTAATTTATACGATGTATACCTAATAGGGTTAGCGATAATATCTAGGATTAGTATACGGTCTATTAAGAACGGACGATAAATTCATATTGTCATATGTACAGATGTATGTACTTATTCTCTGCGTCTTGTTTATAAATGAGACTTCAAGAGTTGGTAACTCAGATCTGTATCTTGCTTTGGGATTTTACTTCGAGTGCGATTCCTCGAGGAATCGCAACGAAGTAAAATCCCAAAGCAAGATACAGAATGTATGTATGCATGTTTACTATGTATGTATGTTTCTGTGTATGTGTGTATGTATAGTATGTATGTATGTATGTCTGTATGTGAGTACATGTGTGTATGTATACATGTGTGTGTGTGTGCACGCACATATCATGGACCCGAAAATTAACTCCCCTCCCTCCCCCCCTACACACACACACACCTTCACAACACAGGACTCCTGCATCCCACGCTTGTTTGATCTCTGCCAGGCAGTCTGGTGCCCGCGTGATTCGGTACAAAGCCCCCCAAGCGTTTGGATGGGTGGAGGAGTTGAAAGGTCCAGAACCAATCCCTTGCGGAGGGCCTGCGGGCTGCACAGCGAGCTGGGTCTGGGCAGGGGGTGGCAGCTGTTTGGCAACCGGAACGGCCAAAGCAAGCTGGGCTGCTGGGGCAGCTTGCGGGGTTGTTGCAACAGCAATGGCCTGGGACGGGTTTGGGGCCTGCAAAGCAGGCTGGGCTGACTGGGGCCCGGGTGTGTGGGCTTCCATCTTTGCCCGCAGCTTAGCTTTAGCATCATGAGCATCTGCGCGGTTTGCATCCGGCTTGGGAGCAGTGTCAGCCTTTGCAGGCTTGGGTGCTGTCTGCATAGATCGTACGGCCTCTGCTTGGGCAGAAGAGGCTTGCTCGATGAGCAAGCAAAGGTTGTGCTCGTGCTGCTCCCGCTCCTCCTGCAAGGTTGCCTCGTGCTCGGCCTGGCGCTGCATCATAAGCTGCTCCTGCCTCTCCTGCTCTGCCTGCAGTGCCGCCTCATGCTGCTTCCTGGCTTCGTCAAGGGCCTGCTGATGCTGCACTAGCTCCTGTTGCATTTGCCCTCGTAGCTTGCTCATCTGCTCGTTCATGTACTTCTCCAAGGCAGCCTGTTCTTGTTTCATCCTCTTGCTAAGCCCGACATCAAGAGCATCATCCTGGGGTGGGCGCTTCCTGGATTCCTCCTCCACAGCTTTTGCGTACTGCATGTTCGCACCGGGGAGAACCTGTGTCGTCTCGGATGTAGTGCTTCCACCGCAGCTCCCACTCGAAAATCCTTAACTGCTTTTAGCACAAGCACCACAATGGACATGCCGATCATACCGGAGCACAAGTTTATTGGATCAGCCGTAAAACCACGATGCAGCTGCCCCTTCGTGCGGAGGTACTCTTCCTTGAGAGCTTTGGAATCGGGCGTGTCACCCAAAGTCTTCCACAGCTCAGCCGTCTCGGGCGATAGACCCAAGAACCGATCGGGGTCATTGCTTTCACATGTCTCGTCCTGTTGGAATCAAACAAAGTTTTGAAGCGGAACACAACACACACACACACACACACATTGTGTCTGAATCCCCAGCACACTGCCTTGACCTTTGTGGGTGTGGCCATGGGATTCTGCTTCTCGAGGTAGTTCATCCCCCGGTACAGAGACTCGCAGGACATTCGATGCGACACCGTACCACAGCGAAAAAAAGCAGCCTAAGTTGAAACAACCTCCTGTAGAACCTGAGAACCCCTCTTCATATGACTAACATACCTATTCGTACTTTTACACACATATGGGTATGTCAGTGTACAGAAACAAACCTCATGCAGGTCCTTTGCTGCTGCTTCGAGCAAAGCAGCGGGATGAGGTCCAAGTCATAACAATAAAATCTTAGAAAGGCCGGGATTTGGTTTCGAGAAACCATAATGGGTTATCGCTTTTACAAGTCTTAAGTGGGATCATGTACATATATACATATTTGTTATGAACGTGTGTATATATATGCACATATCATACATACAGGGAAAGGATATATAGACACGTCATGTGTATAAGGGATCGATCGGGCAGCTGGTTGCTTCTCCGCATAGGACTTGACTAGCGGGGGCTACTTTAGCACTTCAAGGGTCTAGAAACCTTATATAGCTGGCCTTAGATAAACACAACACATGCAGCTATGAGGCCACTCCATAACAGAAGCTGGTTGAGTACATCCACATACCGCCCGATGATGGGTTCTGGGACACACCCACAGAGTAGCCCTGCTTACATCATTTATAAGGTTCGAAGGGTTGTATGGGCCTAGGAGCAACGGGTCTTTAATTGGTTCCATGATCCACCTGTTCTTGCCGGGTACTCAAAACCCTGTAAATAACGATATATGAGATGTTCTCGGAGTACACCCTCCATTAGGGCTATAGGGTTTGGGGCATCGGTTTGCTACATCCGGAGAAGACTCAATGAATGGACAGAGCCCCTGAGACACTGGTGCGTTCACGGGGTGAGTGGATACGACCACGACAGTGTCCGACCGGACATGCGATCAACTCCACGACTGCACGAACGATGCAGGGTTGACATTGGATCTGCGGCAGCGAGCCACACGAACTCTATGACGGCTCAGCAGCATCTGCAGCAGGGTGCTGATTCTGCAGCGTCTGCAGCAGGAAACTGCACAGAGGGTCACGACTCTGCAGCGTCTGGCGCCGCAATATCGGGTGCCGCACTGACGGTATGTCGTGACGGACGACTGGACAATGACAGGATCTATTGGGGCCCCGACCCATTCCCGAAACAAGTAGAAGCAGTTCTTCCTATACTCGCACCCCAACATCCTAAAGTGCATTCCACAAGCCTCTCGTTTAGGGTTATATAGGACTTGATATAGGGCTGGGGTTTTCATCCCCACGACCCTAGAATCTGCACTTAAAACCGCACGTGTGCAAGACCCATAGAGCCATAGAGCCCTATAGAACCCCCAAGACCGAATGTAAATAGAACATCAGTCCCATGGGGGTTCTCCAATGTAATTAATTACATCGCGGGTTCTAATGATGGGTTTGATCTGGCCTGACTGCAGAAGTGTACGTATTACTTGCCAGTAATAATTCGAAGCGGTGCCACACTTTCGGGCTTTGGGCTTGCACTACCTTTGAGAAAAGCCTAGTAACTTATTGGGACATGAGCAGGGTCATGATTTCAGGTTCCATTTCGGACATTCGGGGAGTTCTTTGGGGGATGACTAAACTGACCTCTGCCTCATCTTGTCTGAATTATATAGACCTTAGCAAAGTAGGATTTGTGGGTTTAATGTCTCCAAACACCCCTCGTTGCACGACATGAGCTGCCGGATGTATACAAATGAGCCCTTAGAACACTTTATTCGTACCCCTGGTACAAATAAGCTTTCTTTACAACACTAATTATAAAGCCCTGTATAGCAAATCCTGGACCCTTGATAAGTGGCATCACATAGAAGGTACCATCACAGGGAATTGAACAGCAACTCACTATAATATCCACTACCGAACCCGATTCAAACACAGAGCAAAATCATGCTCTGCGCTTGCCAGGGTGGCGCTGCGGTGGCTTTATCGGAGCCGGTCAGAATTATCTGGATTTATGGGTTTATAAAGGGCAGTTTCTACAAGGGCTCCTTGCTCGGGTTCGGGTTTATGGTAATCGGTAGATCTGGCTTCTAGGGCTTCCTAGATACGATTCGGTAGCTTAGGGCTTTCCGGTGTGACTTCTCGGGCGAGTTCTACGGTTGATGATTTATAAATCCTGCATTACCTTAAGGACCCATAAACTATGGGAAGTATTGTATATTCCTTATTATGATTCATGCAGGATTTATATATATCATCAACCGTAGGACTCTCGAGGTTTAGGTCTTCCAGGGTTTTAAATTACTGTAGTTCCCACTAAACTCCCCACCTCAGTCCTATAAAGCTGGTCAACATCCCAAAGCAGGCTAGAGCTACACTAAATCCTGTAAAAAGTCCAGGAGGTCTTAAACCAGGGTATGTAAGGGGCTCCTACTGAGTCTGGGTAGGTATGACTAGTGAAACAGCTGGTGTTCCTTTGGTTGTCCCGAGCCAAGCAAGTGATACTATATAAAGTCCCGAACCCGTACCACCGACACTCCTATACTTGTCGCATCTAAAGGAATGATTCCAGAATCCTCTGAAACACCCCTCGACTAAGCAACCTTAAGGCTGTCACAGGGCTATAAGTCAATGGGTATGGTTGTACGTGTTCGATGATCTACTTACAGGACAACTTTTACAACCATCATAGATACCCCAGTACCCTCATTAGCCATATAAGATACTTCGTTGACTCATGTAGGTATATGTATATATGAGCATATATCCCATAGGGAAAACCTCAGTCCCTTCAGTGCAGGAAGAACACACGGGGAGGGCGGTAGCACCCGAGCTGGTAGGTGATGTCGTCGTAGGCAATGGATCTCCTGCAGCGATTGGGGTCAGTTGGTTTGTCCTGTATGACTATTGAAAAAGGGATCCCTTAGCAGGTATGGTGTTTATGATCAGCTAGACATATTAGACTACAGAAGCAATTCGGCTTAGGTCGTACTCTGGGTAAACCAAGAGGGTGGATTGCAAAAATTGGTAAAACCAGTTTCCTTAAGCCCGCTGCTGGGGCGTAGATTTTCTGTTGCGTTCTTGCGCGTTCTGTTGGCTCTTTTTGGTTTTCTGGTGGCGGTTTCTGGTTTTCTGTTGGGGTTCCGTTGCCTAGGTTTTTGAGCTCGGAGCACTGTTTTTGGTTTTTTCAGGTCCTTCAGGTTCGGGAGGAGCATTTTTTGTGTTTTTCAGGTTCCTTGTGTTGCTATATGCTTATTGGGATTGGGTTTTTTTGGGTTATGGAAGCTTGAGCTTGGAGATTCCGGTGTTTGGGTGTCTTGTTGCTTGGCTCTCGGGTGGTTTGTGCCAGGGCTTCAAGGTTCTCAAGGTCTGGTTTTGGTGTTGCTCAGAACCACAATATATATATATATATATATATATATATATATATGACATGTAGTGATCAAACCTCTGGACGTTTTGGCCGATTAGAGTAGCTACTGTTGTATACACACATCGAGTTGGCTGGGGTCTACTGGGCATATGATACCTATAAAGTTGTATGGCTGTTGGGGCCAGCCCGGTTCGGATAACACACGATACTCGAGTACAGCTGTCTCAGGGCACGTTATTGCTGTGCACCCGATGTAGGCTAATTACTATAAGTCCCCCGACCCTCCCACTATGTCTTCCTAGACGTCTGGGCAGAAATCTACCCCGGGTGTTCGTGCGAGCATGCATTCAAAGCCTTCACGGGGCCGTAAGGTAGTTGCAACTTTCTGGGGTTCGTGAAGAAAAGCTAACCTTCAAGAGAAGTACTACGAACGAGGCACAAAGCCCGCAGGAATTCCTCCTAGCCTGGATCTAGCCTTTTCTGCAGCCACACCCCTGCAACATCAAGCTCAGCAGACGAATTAGGGCCTCCTGCAGCAAGAACTACGGCTATGGCTAAAACCACAGCACGGCTATGGCTCCAACCACAGCACTGGCTCATGCGATGCCTAATGCACGCTTGAGCTCCTGAGGTAGATTCGTGCTTTTGCTTCGGAGTAAGTATACCACGACCTCATCCATCGCTGCATCCTCCATCCAGTACTTGGATGCGTGATCTTCATAGTACTTCAAGGCCCCGAGAAGCAGTTCCATTGAAGCATCAGGAGGAAGAGCCTCTCACCATTTTAAGTTTTAGGAGAAGGATCACAACACCTGACATACATAGTTATCTTGCAAAAGTTCACATGTACGTATGTATGCATGCCTGGGTGTGCGTATGTCTGTGAGTCTGCAAACATACATTTGTCGGAGGCTACACATGTATAGGTATTTATATGTATATATACAGATAGATATACATAGAAAGGCAGGTAGACGTATGTGTGCCTGCATGCATATATATATATATATATATATATATATATGTATGTATGTATATGTATACATCTATATGTATGCATATTCATATTGTCATATGTACAGATGTATGTACTTATTCTCTGCGTCCTGTTTATAAATGAGACTTCAAGAGTTGGTAACTCAGATCTGTATCTTGCTTTGGGATTTTACTTCGAGTGCGATTCCTCGAGGAATCGCACTCGAAGTAAAATCCCGAAGCAAGATACAGAATGTATGTATGCATGTTTACTATGTATGTATGTTTCTGTGTATGTGTGTATGTATGTATGTATGTATGTATGTATGCATGCATGCATGTATGTATGTATGTATGTATATGTGTGTGTGCGGGTGTTTGCCAATGTGTCTCAATAAGAACCTGCTGTTGATACAGTTGGTGGTGGGTAGGGAAACTTAAGTGGTTTTGCCTAAGCACCCGCCTCTATATGATACACATGCACTATATGCACATAAATGTAAGTATGCAACATATATGTAGTTACATGTACATACACATGTCCGTGTGTGAAGCAACTCCTGCTTAAACTAGATCTACTAGTACCCAAACAGAAGCTAGAAGCCTGATTACAAACCCTAACAGTTATAAGGCTATGGCTCTTGGGGAGATGTAATCTTTTAATGGGTCTTATACAAGGTAGCCTTCGGCTGCCGCTGCGGCGCTAGCGACATCTCCGGCA